TAAAAATAAAGAGCTCCCGCCGTATCGGCTCAGGTCACCCCCAACCAGCCCATGGCATCATCGGGCCCACTCTCAAATCCCCCCTGCTGAGGGGGATGCAGGCCTTGGGGGGGGGGCAGGGGGGGTTGCCGATGCCCAGGGATGGGGATGGCACCAGCTCTGGCCTGGGGCCAGCCAGGGCAGCTCCCTTTCCTCTCCTCCCAGCCTTCCCCCTCCTCCTTCCCCTGGGCTCCCCCACTCCCTGAACTCCCCTTCCTGGGGAAAAGGGGGCCAGCAGGGGCGGAGCAGAGAGGCCGAGGGCCCTACCTGGTCTGGAGGTGGCTCCCAAAGCCCCAAATGTAGGCGCAGACAAAGATGCTCTGGGCCAGCAGGGGCTGGTGGGTGGGGGCCTCTTCCAGGCTGTGGTCCTTCGAGCTGGGGCGCATCCTGGATCTGATTTCTGGAAGGGAGAAGGCGGGGGGGGGTGATGTTACCTGGGCTCTTTGTGGAAGAGCGCCCGGCCCCTTCCCGCTCTCCAGCAGGCCATCCTTACCTGTGGCCACCTTGACAGCCGGCCGGGGCTTGACCTGGTCGCGGCGCATGTAGTGCTTGAGCAGCGCCTGGAAGATCTTGGCGAAGGCCGTGGTCTCCTGGACCCCCTGGGCCAGCGGGTGCTGGGGGTGGGCGTGGGGCAGTAGGGCCGGGCAGCAGTGCTGATGCAGGAAGGCCATGGTGGCCGGGAAGAGCTCCTTGGCCAGGCCGTGCAGCAGAGCCAGCGTCTCCAGAGGGAGGCTGTACTTGTGCTGCGCGGGGGCGAAGGCCGAGGAGAGCAGCATCTGCCAGAGCTGGGAGCCCTCCAGGTGCAGCAGGGCGCAGTGGGTGCAGACCGAGGGGGGCATCTCCGAAGCATCCAGCATCTCAAAGAGGAAGCGGAGGTTCTTGGGGGCCTGCAGCCTCTGCCCGTTGGGCAGGCTGAGGAAAGACCTGGCGCTGAAGAGCAAGGAGATGGGCTCCAGCCACTCTTGGCAAGCAGCGCCGTCCAGCACCAACCACAGCTGGGAGCTGCCCTCGCCGGTCCCACAAGCGGCAGCCGAGGTGGCCGCCCGTTGCAAGATCTGGGAGAAGACCCCGTCCTGCCACAGGCTGCCTTCCAGGTTGCCCACAAACTCAGACACGCTCAGGGCGTTGGGCCACAAGCAGACAGTACTTACAGGCCGGAAGGGCGCCTTTTCCCGGGCACCCGGACCCTGCATGTCTGGCGTGGCATCACTGGCTGCCAGCTTACTCTGGGCCTTGGACAAAGTCCGCCAGGTGGTGGTCTTGCCACTTCCCGAGGGCCCCAGCAGAAGGACGCCGTTGGCCCCCTGCAAGGCCTGGGAGAGCTGACCGGCAGCCAGCAGGAGGTCTGGGTCTGGCTGCAGCTTGTCCTCCTGCAACTGAGCCACCAGGGCGCTCTGCAGCCGAGGGGGCAGCTGCTCGGAAGGGGGAAGGGAGGCACCGGGGAAGACTTCGTGGAGCAGCTCCCGCACATTGTGCAGCCGGGGACCCTCGGGGCCAGTCAGCAAGGGCGAACGGCAGAGAGCCTTCACCAAGGCGGGCTCCTCTTCAAGACCCAGGAAGAAGGCTGTCCGGGGAGAAGGCTTGGCTCTGGAAGGGGGAGGGTCTTGCCCTGCTGCTGTGGGAGCAAACAAAATGTCGATGGCTGTCCCAATCACCTTCCGGATGAGGGAGGGGCTGCTGAAGTGGGGCCCGGGGCTGAGCATCCTCTCCAACCGAAGGAAACCACAGAGCTTCTCCGCCAGGTGGGTGGCCTCTCGGAAGCCGGCCACAAGTAGCATGACTTCCGCAAGTCTCGTTAGGTCAGGGGGCAGCACCGCCAAGGGGCGCAGGGCCAGGCACAGCTGCTCTGGAAGAGACTCCAGGGTGACCACGCAGCCATACGTCTCCCGCACACGCAGCAGCCTCCCCCCAAAAAGGATGTTCCCCAGCACTCGTGGCTGAAAGGGCTCGGCTTCATCGGTGCCCAGCTCTGGCATACCAACAGGCTGTGCCTCGCTCTCCTCTGAGCTCTCTGAGCTCTCGGAACCTGGGCTGGCTGGGGGGAAAACGGCCGAGGTCACCCTGCTCCCCTCTTGGAAGTTCAGGCACATCCTCTGCAGGTCGACCAGGCGGTGGCTGATAGCAGAGAGCACGGCGGGTTCCAGACGCTCGACAGACTCCAGCAGCAGCAGGGCCCCCGAATGCACTGCCCCACACAGGTGCCGGGAGAGGCAGCCGATAGACATTAGCCTGGTGCAGTGCAGCGGGACCAGGTGGCGGCCCAGAAACTGGGCCAGGCCCCGCACTGTGTGAGACTTGCCCATGTCCGACCGGCCCAGCAGGGCCCCGCAGCAGAACTCCTCCAAGGCTAGCAGGAGTCCCAGGAAGGTCCTGTCCAGCAAAGGGCTGCCCAGCAGCTGTGAGCTGGTGCCCAGAAACTCGTAGCCATAAGGGAAGCACCTGTCAAGGACTTCGGCCCAGCAGCCAGGAGGACTGCCCACCCAGGAGCAATTTGGAGGGAGCCCCAGTGCCCGGGCTTTCTCAGGCAGCAGGTGGACGCTGTACTTGAGGTGCCGGGCCCACTCAAAGTGGTGGACAGAGGCTTCCTCGCGCTTGAGCAGCTGGGAGATGATGTCACGTTGTCGGATGGTGAGGATGATCAGGGCCCCCAGCAACATGCCCAGGTGGTCTTGCTCTGGGTCCCAGGTGTGGACACTGCGGTAATTCCGGATGTAGTGAACTAGGGCCTCCAGCTTCAGGCTAAGCCTGAGCTCCAGCCCCTTCCGCAGCCGTCGGTTCAAGAAGGCCTCTTCTGCCGCCACCCGCCACAGTGCCTCCTCGGCCAATAGCACGCATTGGGTGGGGAAGGTGTTTCCCAGCCCCGCCCAGCATTCGGCCACCAAGTGCAGGGGCAGTTCTGTGGGCCCAGGGCGCCGCTCAAAGGCCAAATCCAGCTGCGGCCTGAGAGCCAGGCGCTGTGTCACGCAGTCCTGCAGCTGGTTAAAGACAGACTCCTTCATGTGGTGCTCCAGAACGCAGAGCCACTGGGTGGCTTTCCGGCCAAGGGGGACTGGGCTGCACAGCTGCAGGTTCTCACCGTGGCTGCCCAGCAGGCCGACCACCTGCACCAGGGGCAGCTCAGCAGAGACAGCATCCAGGCTTGGCGAAGTTGCGGGCAGGAGCAGGTCCAGCTGGCACACCCCAGGGAAGCAGCGTTGGGACCAAGCCGAGGCGTCTGCAGTTTCATTGGCTGTGGATAGCATGGCCACCAGTTCCTCGTTGCTCAGGAAGAACAGGCGGGGGAAGCTCATGCGAGTGGCCTCCAGAACGTAGTCCAGCGCCCGGATTAGGCCCTGTAGGTTGGCTGAGCCCTCCCGGAAAGCTGCCTGCAGTGCGGCCCCAATGAAGCGGCTGTCCCGGCTAGAGCCTGGCCCTAACTGGACACAGGACAGCACTAGGGGATCGTTGCACGTCAGCCGCATGACCTCCCGGAAATGGGCATCCAGTCGCTGGAACCGAGAATCCTGCAGGGGGGCATGGAAAAGGAGGATGGAAGAAGGGAGGAAATGGGCCCAGAGAGGAGTGGGGCAATCCTTCCAGGCACAAGCCTGACTTACCAGCTCTGAGCTGGGGAGGGTGATGTTCATCTCATAAAGAACGATGTTCAGGAAGACCCACTTCTGTTGGAAACTCACCCAGGCATACAAAAGGGACTCTGGATAAAAGAGAAAGACGAGGGGGAAGTAAGGGGAAGGGGATCCACCCATCACACGACACCCCAGGGTTTTTAACACTGATCGCTGAGTAGACTTCTGGCTGGCCGTGTCGTCTGAAGAAGCTGCTTTTCTTTAGGGTTGAACCCCCCCCAGGAGATAATTCTGGGGTGTGAAAGGGGTGAGCCCCCCTGCAACTCAGCGAACTCCGTGCCTGGGATTCATTCTGCTTCTCTGCAGAAACGAAGGCACACGTTCACCCCTTG